TCTGGCATATCGAATACTCTCGGTAGCTTGCCGGGCTCTCCGAGAGGGGCGGAGGAATCGAACTCGGGTCGACCATGTTGGCCGCTTGTTAGGCGAACGCCCTACCCGCTGTGCTATCGCTCCAACCCCACACAAAGGGAAAAAAAATGGAGGATGTCTTCCAATTCTGCATTCAGACACACCTGCTATTGTGGGGGATGGAAAAGACTTTAAGTCCTCAGCCCACCTTTGCTTAACTGTTATCTAGACACTTCTTCTCGGCTGCTGTTTCAGAATGCATATTTCTCAAGGTCAAGGTCTGAGTTTATTTTTATTCCCTGGGGGCCTAGCGCGGGCAGTCTGCACATGGGGACCGTGCCGTCTCTGAGCCAACGTCTTTTTGATTTCTGCTCACGTTCAGTAAAGCGCAGCTGGCCGGACCGCAGTGCCAACCCTCCTCTCCTGCTTCACAAATCGACCTGTACATTCTGTGTAAATGAAGGAAACGGCATCTCTTCAAACCCCCAAGTATAAATCCCAGAAGCAATATTCAGTTCGAGGACAGAGCTGGTGCCATGCGAGTGACAGGAGGTGACAGTTAGACCCACAGAACGGAAGGTCAACCCGGTGTGGATGGGAAGACCCAAGCCCGGGGCTCAGCCTCTGCCGGCATTGGGGCACCATGGAAATTTCTGCTTGGTGTGGCGTCCCAATGAGGGAGACTCACTGCATCCCGGAGTGGCTGGAGTGTGTGTGTGTGTGTGTGTGTGTGTGTGTGTGTGTGTGTGTGAACAATGAGGGCAGAGGGGCCCAAATGGACCCCAAAGGCAGCAAATACTCTGCCTTTGTGTAGGGAGAGCAGACAAACAGAAGTGACCATGACCGGCGTGTATGGTTCGCGGGCGGTCACCTGGATGGCCAAACAGAAATCCTCGAATGTTCTTCCTCCCTTCCTCCTGGGCAGCTGCTGCCCAGTATAGCCACAGTCTGTTCTGCAGCTCTCTGCAGGCTGGTCTGAGTGGGCAGACACAAGGGGGGCTTAGGGAATAGTGGGTGTAGGCACTGGAGGACGTGCCCTCCACATGACCCAAGGGTGCTGCAGACTCTTGAGTGCCCTCTGCAGTGATGAAGTCTTTCTCGGGTGGTAGACATAAAAACGGGAGCAAACATAACAGCTGAATTTGATTTTTTTTTTTTTTTTTGCTCTTTGGGTCACACCCAGCAATGCACAGGGGTTACTCCTGGCTTTGCATTCAGGAATTACTCCTGGCGGAGCTCAGGGGATCATATGGGATGCTGGGAATTGAACCCGAGTTGGCCAAGTGCAAGGCAAATGCTCTACCCGCTGTGCTATCGCTCCAGCCCAATAGCTGAATTTGAATGCGCATCAGGCTGGGTGTCCAGTCAGATCCTCTGATAGCGTTTCAGTGGATGGAAACAGAACTTCAGGCAGAAAACAGGGACAGGCAGGGTGCCCTTTATTGGTCTGTGTTTTGGGCCACACCCAGCTGTGCTCAGGGATGCCTCTTGGCGGGGGGCTCGGGTGACAGTATGTGGTGCAGAGAACTGAACTTGGGTAGGCCACTTGCAAGGCAAGCACCCTCCCCACTGGATTATCTCTCTGGTCCCAGGCAAAGATTCCTTTCGGTATCTATGGGTACTTTCTAACAGGATCCCAGGAGATGAAATCTCACCGTCTCCGATAGAGACGTTACTGCGTTACTGGGCCCGCTCGAGCAAATCTACGATCAACAGGAGAGCCGTTACCTTTACCTTACCTTTACCTTCATCTCCCCAGTCTAGTATGAAGCCCTTGTACTAGGATAAAGTGCCATGGAGAGAAAGCTGTGTTTCCCAGATACCTCTCTGCCCCAGGCATGTCTGCAAGGGATTTATAATCAGACACTCTTGCTCTAATCAACAAAGCCATTTCATTTTGGGGTTCAAATAAAACATGGGGCTTGTCGCTATGTCCTTTGGAACCTTCACAACTTTCTGGACTTGAAACGAGGGAAAGTCAGGCTCTCAGACTCTGCTAAAAAGGCAAAGCTCATGGTTCCCTGGACACTGGACGGGCTCAGGATGGGGGCTCTAGGCTCTGAGTCTAGCTGGAAGACTCCGCCCTCTGTGTGACGGTTCTGCGTCTGCCCTGCAGTGCCAAGAAGAGAAACTCCAGCTGCTAATAATCAGGAGGTCCATAGACGAGGTGCCCGGATTAAAACCTCAATCTTACCACGTCTGAATTCTTGATGGACAGAACCTTGGAGAAATTCCTGCAACTCACAGCTTCCTCTCTCGGAGTCTTCAGCACTCTGGTGGGGGCAGGCTGCTGTTTTTCTGTAAGCTTCACCTGAATGGGCCTGGTAGAGTTCTCTGAGAGGGTACAGGGGTGTGCAATTTTTTTTTTTGCTTGTTTGTTTCTCAGGGTGTGTGTGTGGGGGGGGGGGGGTACCTGGCAGTGCCCAGGGCTTACTCCTGGCTCTGTGTTCAGAGATCACTTCTAGCAGGGCTCAGGGGACCATACAGGGTGTTGGAGACCAAGCCAGGGTCAGCCATGTAAAAGACAAGTGCCTGATCTGCTGAACTGCTGGTCTGTCCCAAGGACACGCGATATCTGGGTGGAGAGAATTCTGTCCTCTGGCGTCATTCTGGCACTACAGGAAATCAAGCAATCCCAGTCCTGACCCACTAATGTCAGGGGGGAAAATGTCCCCCAGGGTTAAGGAGATGGCTCAAAAAGCCACAACGTATTCTTCGCCTGTGGGATGCTTGAATTTCCTCCCCAGCCCTGCACAGTCCCCTGAGCACTGAGAAAGGGAAACTCCATGGGTCAAATACCCACCCCCGCCCCAATGCCTTCTTAGACATTATGACTATCAAAGTGTGGTTTGCCACTGTCACTCCTGCACATTCCCATGCACCCTTTCAGCAGGTGGTTCCCATGAGGAGTGAGTGGCACGTGGGACAGCCAGGTGCTTCCACTGCATCCGTCTCGGAGACGCTAATGATCATGCCATGACCAGGGAAATGCAGTGCTGTGCAGAGTCGGGGAGCAGAGCTAGGCTGCCTGGGCATCCATCCTCACACGGGCCTTGGTTTTCTCCAGGGGCCATGTCCTAGATCATGGCTTCCAGCTTTTCACTCCTGCATGCCCAGCCAGGAGGCAATGGTCTGAGGACACACCACTGCCTGTTAAGCAACAACCATCTGCTTTTTGGCCAGCTTTCTGCATGCAGACCAGTGATGAGAAACCGCCATCAGGGAGAGCAGCCTGCGTGGTCCTAAAGGAATATAAGGTCCTGATCTGACCTCCCACTCATTGCGCTCACAATCCACTGCTTCTTCCTGGCCTCCTGGGAGATACTCCCCTGTACCCCCTTAGATAAGCTTCCCAGGGATTTCTGGAGAGATCCTTAAAGAGCTAAAGCACGTGCCTTTGCATGCGGGAGGCTTGGACTCTATCCCTAGCACCACATGATTCCCCTGAGCACTGTCAAAACTGACTCCTGTCAGCACTGACCCCAAGCATGGAGCTGGAAATAGTCCCTGACCACTACCAGATTTGCACCCTATCCCCTGATCCATGATACCTCCCTGGAGCTTAGCAAACCCCAATCTCTCTCTTCTCTTTGTCTCTCTTTCTCTCTCTCTCTCTCTCTCTCTCTCTCTCTCTCTCTCTCCCCCCCCCCCCCTTTCTTAAATTTAAATGAGTCAATCTGAACTTAGCCTGGAAACTCCAAAGTCTTCCCCTCTGCACTCCTGCAGCTCCTCACCTCTGGGTGTCCCAGGCACACCTGGGGACCTGAGCCCAGAAGCCCATTCTCAACTTTCTAGGCATCCTGTGGACCCGGCTGGTGCGACTCGTCTCCCACTGGTGCTGATGGGATTGAGAATAAGAACCTCATGTTCTCAGTTGCTCCCTTCCCTCCTTCCTGAGACATCCTGGAACATCTTCACTGCTTTGCATTTGTGCTTCTTTCTCATAGAATCTCCATGACCATCCAAGCACCAGAGATGAAACTTTGGAATGTGTGAGTGAGAGACACCAAACCAAGAAAAAAAATCAAGAAAAGAAAAGAAAAGAAAAGGAATGGTTCCTTGTGGAGGAAATAGACTCCGACCAGCTGAATGGGAATAAAAAAATCAAGCCTGGGGAGTCCTAACCTACTCCACTCACTGAAATACCTGACTCTGGGTTTCACTTGAGGTGCTATCAGTGCTGTGGGTCTGGGTGAAAATGGTCCCGTGGGGGGCCCAGCACTTCTGTGTGCTGCTCTGCTGGCTCTGAGTGGCAGTGGGTGACAGGCTGGCCTTCTCTGTGATTCTAGGTGGTGCTGGCCTTGGGGTCAAGCTGCTAAAACTCTGCATTTCCTCAGAATGGTTGGGCTGGTTCTGCCTAGTTGTGGATGATTTAAACTAAATTTAGACCAAAATGCTCCTCCTGTATCAAATGGACTCGCTCCTGTTAGATCTTGATGAAACAAACAGGTTCCAACCAGTTCTGATTGCCTTGAACAAGTTTCAACTGGGTTACCCTTGTTCCATCTTGCTCAGACTAGACAGATTAGATTGAATCCAATGATCTGTTTTCCTTGAAGCAAGCCAGTTCAATCTGGCCTGAGCTGGACCAACCAATTCTAAACAAGAAGGTCCAGTATGAACCACTCTGTAACACAGGTTCTGGAAGTCACCGACTTTCAGATGCCAGTGAAAATACAGTAGTGGATCTCTCCATTGGGAACTCTTACAGTAAAGGTCTTCCTCCTTCTACCAACTTTTCAAAAGTTATGATCCTATGTGCCTTTCTCAAGACTAGCCATTATGAATCACATCTGTAGGACAGCTCGAAAATCTTCTTTCTATTTGAATCCCTTGGCAGGTCAGTATCCAAGTGCTGCCTATAATAGCATCCCAGTCTGCTTTCCTCCTAACTGGGCAGAAACAAATGAGGTGCTGGACGGCCACTGTGGGCCGTGGGCCGCAGATGCTACACCTGCTCCGAGCACCTGATTACCTCTCACCTTGATCCTGCTCACTGCTTCCTGGGCCTGCATCATGCGCACGTTTTTGGAGGGAGTTTTATCTGAGAGCAGCTGGGTGGAGCCCAGGTAGTTGGCGGCGAAGATGATTCCATCAATCAAGTCATCAGGGTCACAAGGTCCGGGAACTGCAAGATGGAGAGTCACATTAGTGAGTGAGACCACCGCGGGGTGGGTCCTCTTCAGCCCCCACAGCACACCACCCCGTCTCCACCTTGTCTGGAGTCCTCAGTGCTGTCCTGTCAACCGGTCTGTCTCAGGCACCTCTTGGCCTGCCTTCACTCAACTCCCACTTTCTTTGTTATTCCTTTCAAACAGTTTATTTAATTATAGTTTCGGTGATCGTGTTATAGTGGTGTTCCAGTTTATGGCATTGATGTATAAAGTCACCATACACCATGTCCACTGAAGTGCCCATGACCCTCCATTCCTGTCCCTATGCCACCTCTGATCTGCCTTTCTTTGGGGTCACCTCACCCCCGAGCCCCATTTTTTGTTGATTGATAGTTACGTTTGGGTGCAGACTGTTACCTCCCTAGGTCACCGCCCCCATATGTTCCAGACCCTCCACCTAAGCCCCACTGTTGCGTCCCATCAACCTCACAGATCCCCTCTTCCACTTCCCCCAAACCTGGTGCTCTCAGGTCTGCATTCTAGTATCCAAGGTTTATTATCCATTAATATTGTCCCTAACCTTGATTTGTTTCTCTAACATACCACAGATAAGTGAGATCATCCTGGTTTTGTCCCTCTGACTCTGGTTTATTTTGCTCAGCACATGATTCCCTCCAATTCAATCCCAGTTGCCATAACCTGCCTGGCTTTCTTTTTATCCTGTGGGTGCATGGTATTCCATTCCACATCTACTTTTTGAGGGTTTGCTTCCACATTCTGGCTGTGGTACTAAGAGCTGTAGAGAACACAGGTGTGTATATGTCTTCTTGAGTTAATGTTGTTGCATATAGCCCTCAATTTCAGATAGAAGGACCGTTTCTTAAGATTAATTTACTCTATATGAACCATTTACCACAGAAACAATGCAAACGCCTAAGCATAAAACTCATAATCCCACTGCGATGAATTATCTTTACTTCAGTCCAACTGTGAGCTTTCTGGGGACAAGGTTGTATCATGTTCCTCTCTGACTTACCTATATCTAGCTAGTGTCTGTTACCCCATGGGTATCAAAGGAATGTGAACTAACTTCAATGAGATGATTGTTCACACAATCAGCAAACCTCATTTGACGAGGGTACCTGTACTTGCCACCAGTTGGGATACACTCTTCCATCTCATCTATAATGAGGGAAGCACATTTCATACATGGGGGGAATGGGACATTTGTTTCAGAATGGCTGGCTTCCCATCATGGCCTTTGAACCCTAGCGTGGGAAATAGATGCACTGACTTTCACGTGCACTGACTTTAAAGTGGGCATGTGGTCCAACCACACTGTTCCCACCGGCATGCACACAGAGCATTTGCAAAGAAAGGCAGTGTTTCCTGTTCTCACTGACCAGCCCTGCAAATCAAACTTTCCTTCTAAATATTTAAGACAGGAGCATCTGATTCAAGCCATAATCACCTGTATCCCTACTCGGAAGTAAAACACGCCTGAGACTAACAAATGCATCACTTTACAAAACTGGCAGTAAGGCACTTAAGTTCTGCAAGAAAAACAAGCATTTTATTTGGCCTTTAAGGTCGTATCTGGGGAGACCAAACTATTCACTTTAGTCCACTGTTAAAATTTGAGTATCCTACATGAGAAAACTTAAAGTGAAAAAAATTTGCTTTTTCCTCATGAAGGAATCTGAATGATTCCTATTTTTGTTTTTTATACACTGATGTCATCTCGAGCTTAAATAGTCACCTTCCACGACAAGCTACAAATCAGGGTACAGAGAACATTCATTTCTCTAAAACCAAGGGGGTAGTTGAGACAAAGCAATTAACAGTGTTTTCAGGAAGACCTTCACAAAGCCCCTGTGTGGTAATTAATTAAAGAAGCCTATAATTTGTCTTGCTCTTGAATTTTTCCTGGAAACATTTCTCGACAAACACAGGGAGTGCACACAGCAAAATCTGACTCCATCACAAACCAGTTATTCACGTTCTCCTCAATAGCCACATGCAGGTGACCCCAAAACTTGTACAGATTTCAGAAAACACACTAGAGGCTAGATAGTGAAGAGCACTAGTCTAAATGAAATGATACACAGGCAAGTTTGGGCAACACTCTGCTTTGTGAAAAATAAAAGATAACCAATCTTCTACTGTAAATTCCTGTGTTGAACCTACAGTAAAATAAAGGAATGTAATCACTGTTACAACTCAATGTTGAGGAAAAAAGACTGCATTAGGTGACATTTTTTAAAGAAAAATCTTCATACCCTGAAAATAATGGATGTTAAAAAAACTTAAAATATAACAGTTTCTTTGAAACTCATATAGCCCTGTCTAATTTAGTTGTCGTCAGCCAAATGGTCAACTCTTCAGTCAGAATAAATAATTGTGTATGTGCAGGTCTGTTTAAAACAAAATTGAAATCTAAGTGACTGTGTATCAAGCAAGGAAAGAAGTACTATTGACCTTAAAGCAAATGTTTGAGAAATAATCTTGGATCATTTATCTTCCAAAAAATTAATCACAATCAAATGTCAGAGTATTACACAAAGTAATAGAAAGTCCTGATTTTAATAAGTTCACTCTAGGCTCCATGTTAGCAAGGATTCAATGAACTCAGGAAGTGCACAAAATGGTACCTGACAGGAAGAACTTACTAGGTGTTATTAGCTCATTCAAGCAATTCCTCTTGCTTTATTCATATTTTTCTTTTAAAGAAAGAGGACCTTGATTTCTCCTTTAGAGTGCACTTCTGTTCAGTCGATCTTTGGTGGATGGAAGAGGCATATGGGACCAGAAGGAGGCAGAGCTCGGTTTTACATAGAATGTTTTCATCATTGTGCTGGGCAGAACCCCTAAGCCTTCCCTGTCCTGGGTTCTCCCAGATGGAAAGAACAAAGACAGGGAGGAGAGATGCCAGTTTGACGGGGATGCCAAACAGAGCATTACAGCTATTGTTCCTATTGCCCAAGGCTGTTTGCACCCTGAGTAAGTCATCTTGTGGCTTTTCCTCCACTGTTTTAAGGTCCAGGGTTTTCAAATCCCCCAAATATTAAAAGATTCATGAGTTGCTCAGGGCTCCCTTTTCAGCTCTTACCTTCAACGTAGGTTGGGAAGGAAGCCAAGCTTTTTCTGGACTGTAATTAAAACAAAGAGGTTTCAAACAGGGCAGCATGATAAAAAAAAAATACACCAACATAACCATGCATGCAACAGAAGACCAAAATCCATCACCCACAACAGATATTAACTATTTATTAAGCGTTTTTGGTTCCAGGAGTCAAATGTGAGTAAACAGCTGCACTGATGGCTATAAGCCACCTAATGTGCCCTCCAGCTCACCTGAAAAGCTGACACTGACAATCAGAAAAAGGTCTTGGAGCCTGGTGGGTATCCCACAGGCCAAAGCCAGCAGCAGCAACAGCAAGGAAATGGGCTCAAGGGACAATCTTGAGAATCCGAGCTCCAGGGCCAGAGTTTGATCCTGAGCACTGAGCACTGCCCCCCTCACCCCTGAGCACTACCAAAGTTGGGGTGGTAGGAGCCCCTGGTTCAGGTGGGCCTGGGCAGCGCCACATCACCTAATCCAAGCATCACACTGCCTCACATGGTTGATTGAGTATTGTAGGGAGAGCCCCTGAGCCCCGAAGCACTGCCTGGGAGGCCTCCAAGTCATATGATCTGATAAGAAAAGCATCTGGATTCCTAAGGAAAACCCTGATTAGTAAAAGCACCAACCATGTGATGAAAAGCGCCAGCAATCTGTTTCCTTGGAGAATTCTGTTTCACTTTTGGTCTTTGTTGCAGGGATCACTTGCTGTGCTAAAATCATTGGCTAGAGTTTCTACTGCTCCCTTTCATCTCCTACTAATTTATTTTTGCTTAAAGGTTCCACTCTGTAACTCCTTACTGTGTGTTACCTTAAAATAAGACCACATCAAACAAAGGAGCAAATTAGATATTCTGGATTTCTTACATTAAGGAATGTCTCAAAGCAAAAATCAATTGCCTCACTGTTGGAAGTGGACGGAATCAACCGAAAACCAGCGTGGATGGCAGTTTATTTGTATGTCTATTTAATTTGTTTTGGGGCCCACAGCTGGCAGTGCTCAGGGCTTACTCCTGGAAATCTCACTGATGGAACCGGGTGATGAAACGGTGCTCACTCAGTCAGGGAAGCTTCCTCGTCTCAAAACAGTCAACTTTAGAGAAACTAAGGGCACCAGTGTACTAGAAGCACAGAGTCCCTGGCTGCTAATTCCTTTGCGGAAAAGTGCTCTCTGGGTTGAAGCCAAGATAAGTGGAAAGAAAGAAAAAGTAACTTCCATGTACTTTACACTCACGGCTTTCTATCTACCCAAGTGAGAAGACAAATCCAATTCAGTGCTGGCTGCCAACTCTTGTCTAATTCTGGTTGGTTTAAAGCAGAATTTCCCAAAGTGCATGATTCTGCCTCTCAGGGGACAATGAAACGATGGGGGTGGGGAGGGGGGGTCGTGGTGGTAGTTTTGGGTCCAACTTTAATGAGCTCTTTCTGTGTGTTGAATAGAGTAGATTTCTGGGGAAATTTCTTTTCCTGCAAAGAGGTCTTTAGGCCAAGTAAGTCTGGAAGCCCCTGGTTTAAACGAGGGAAAAAAAATTTCTGTACCTTTGTGAAATCCTGGTCTTACAAGCTAAAAATTGTGGCCAAAGAGGTAATACAGGAGATAAAGGTGCTTGCCTTAAATGCAAGTAACCCTGACTCGGTCTCTGACACCATAGCACTACCAGGAGGGATCCCTGAACACAGAACCACGAGAAAGCCCTGAGCACCACCAGGTGGGGCCCCAAAACCCACCCCACCCCCAAATTAGTTAAAATTACTATTCTTCCCACCATCTCCCTGCCTCGCAGCAAGGAGCCTGGGATAATGAGAGTGTACTTTGTTTAATCCAAATAGCTTAGCCTCCAGGGACACCTAAGAAGTCAATTCAGATCTTCCTGGGCTGCTGAGCTACTTTTCTGAATGCTAATGTCGCAGACTGCATCCAGGTTTCAGCAGGAGCTACGAAAGAATTCATTTGGTATATAGCTTTACCAGCTACCATTTCATTTAGAGTCACGATGAAGGGCATTTGGTACAGTCCCTTATTCTCTGCTCAGGAGCTCAAGTCTGGCTTGCTCTAGTCTTGGGAGTAGTAAATTTTCTTTTCTCTCGCTATCTCTCTTTTTTTAAACACTTGAGTTCTGTGAAATGAAAGGATCTCTAATTATCAACACAAATTGCATTTTCATTACTATTTCTAAGGATACGCAGGAACATGGGCCAAGTCACGCAGGAACTGAGAAACCAACAAATCTGCCCGGCTTATTATAGCCGATGAGTAATCAGATGCTGAATATTCGGATGTCTCATTAGGCCTTTGTTTTCTCCTATGTGGACAAAGTGGAACATCAGTGGATACTTAACACTGAAGAATTAAGAAAGCCACATTAAAAGAGATATGAAAGCCCAAATATCTGGGCTTTCCCAGGGGGAGCTGGTGGGTGGAGCCTGGATGTGGCCTTACATTTGGAACAATAAAGGATAAGCTCCCGGAGTACCACGTCTGACCTGCAAGCCGGGTTCAGCCCCAGAAGTACAGAGCCTGCCGGTGAGAGGCAGCATCCTCATAAGCTCTGGGTTCAAATCCTGGACTGGTTCAGGACAAGCTGAGGGTGATCCAGTCTCAGCTTCTTCAACCAGCACCGGAGGACAACAGAGCTTAACTCACAGGGTTTCTTACACACAATCCTGTCTGTGATATGTGGGGTCCTGTGTCTGAGTGCTGCCAAGGCTCAAGAAATGGTAACTGGGGCCAGAGCAATAGCACAGTGAAGAGGGCATTTGCCTTGCACGTAGCTAACCTGGGTTCCATCCTCAGCATCCCATATGGTCCCCCGAGCACCACCAGGAGTCATTCCTGAGTGCAGAGCCAGGAGTAACCCCTGAATATCACCAGATCGCCGGGTGTGACCAAAAAGGCAAAAAAAAAAAAAAAAGGTAACTCCCATTACTGCTGTTCCTACTGACATGCTTGTTCTCTCTATTTGTTCTTATCCTCCTGTCTGTCCATCCACCCGTCTGTCTGTGTGCTATTACTAGACTATGAGACAAAGCTGTGGGCTGAAGGGTTGGGAGAAACTTCAGTTGTTATTACCCAGGGTCTGAGGAACAAGACCACATGGGGACAGAGTGTATTTCAAGTCTCTATCAATGTCAACATGGTTTCTTATGTTTGCAATAAAAAGATGTATATATATATATATTGCTTTTTGGGTCACACCCGGTGATGCTCAGGGGTTACTCCTGGCTCATGCACTCAGGAATTGCTCCTGGCGGTGCTCAGGGGACCATATGGGGTGCTGGGAATCGAACCTGTGTCGCTCATGTTGGCTGCGTGCAAGGCAAACGCCCTACCCGCTGTGCTATTGCTCCAACCCCAATATATATATATTTAAAATATATATATACATATGCATTTTTCTCCCCTGCATGAGTATTTAATGGTAAATATATGTTCATTTACTGCTATTTAAAGGGTAAATTCTAACCTTTCGATACAATCTGCTACTGGGTTAAAAGAGATTACTATTTTCCTTTGCATTTAACAAAAAATCATTACCAAAAGGGGTGAGGAGAAAAGCTACGGAGTTTACCTCCATGCTTATACTTATACTTAGTGCTGATCAGGCAGTTTCTGTATTGGAGGCATATATTAGACTTTCTAAATTATACATTAGATTCCATAATATATACTACACTACGTATTATACTGTCATACTAGACTACATGTAATATATACCTTGTATTACATATTAGATTCTATATTATGTATTAATCTAAATTATACATAAGACTATGTATTACATATTAGACTATTCTTTCTATATTATGCTATGGATCATATACTTTTTATATTATACTATGGATCACATATTAAACTATAGCACAGTGGGTAGGGCATTTGCCTTGCACGTGGCCAACCCAGGTTCGATTCCTCCGTCCCTCTCAGAGAGCCTGGCAAGCTACCGAGAGTATCCCACCCGCATGGCAGAGCCTGACAAGCTCCCCATGGCATATTTGATATGCCAAACACAGTCACAACAAGTCTCACACTGGAAACGTTACTGGTGCCTGCTCGAGCAAATCGATGAACAACGGGAGGATGGTGATGTCATATATTAGACTATGCATTATATATTAGATGATGTCAATATCAGGCTCTATGTTATATACCTGACTCTATATTATATACTAGATTCTCAATATTCAGAGTGGGCAGAGGCCACACACAGACGGAGCAGTTCAGTGCTTCCCTGATACAGGGGTGGCAGTGAGCTGGGTGCCCATGGCCAGGTGGTACTGGAGTTGCAGGTGGACATCAGGGTTGAACTTTCCTTTTTCTATTCCCACCAATCTGCTGTGGGCTAGCCTGCATGCCCATGAATCTTCTCCCCAGAGCTCCGCTGGGCCTCTGTGAGCTGGGCATCGCATACTCGCTGTCCAAGAGGGACACTTGAGATTCACAAGGACAGCAGCACATGGCCACTGGACATCACTTAATTACAATGCAAGGGCCAGGGAGCTGGCTCCAACAGTCAGGCAGCTGGCTGGCACTCCGAGACCCTGAGTTTGATGCCTGGCACAGCCTGCCTCTAGTGCCCCCAGCAGCCCGAGCACTGCAGCTTTGAGAGCCCACCTCTGACGTGGTGGCCCTGGGTCCCCACACACTGCTAGGTAGGACCCCTATAAAAAAATAAAACGGGGAGAGAGAGAGAGAGAGAGAGAGAGAGAGAGAGAGAGAGAGAGAGAGTATGGCGGGGAAAGCATTTACCTTGCATGCGGCAGGCCCGGGTTCAATCTCCTGCACCACACAGGGTCCCCTGAGCACCACCAGGAGTGATTCAGTGATTCTTCAGTACAGAGCCAGGAGTAAGCCCTGAGCATAGCTGGATGTAGCCCCAAATCAAACCAAACCAAAACAAAAAAGGCCCGGGAGTTCGAGAGTCAGTGATTGGTTCAGTTCCTCAGCTACCAGCTCTGTCCAGTAAGCACTGTGTAGCTTAGCGTGAGTTAGAACCTTTCTTCCAAGTCACAGCGAGGTCACTGGACAGCGCCGGCCATATTGGGGGGCCCTTTGGACAATGGGGAGGACAGCAGATGTCACGGCACTGGAACTGTCTCGCAGGGCAACTAGAATCAGGTCACCCTGGTGTCAGATGCCCTGGAATCGGAAATCAATGCCTATATTGGAAATCAATCAGCCCTGGCCCCAACACAAAATGGCAGGACCGGCGGCTTCCCACACCCAAGGTGTGAGGCTGCCACTCAGTGTGCATGCCAACCCAGTATGCTGCTGGAGAATTCCTGCAGCGATGGAAACCTCCCCTGGCCAAGAGAGTCGTTCCGGGTCCCACGGACCACACAGAAGGTGGCCCAAGTGCCTGAGGAAATGGCTTGTTGTTGCTGCTCTAGCTATACTCAGGGGTGCTCAGGGGACCACAAGTGATGCCGGGGATTTGCACTGAGGCCGGCTGCATGTATACCCATTCTGTTATGCCTCCTGCCCCGGCAACGGTATTTTTATTTCATGCATGGAAAGAGACACCCTGCAGGAGGGCTACTGGCTTAGAGGACGCAGTGTGCTGTGACACTGAATTCCATGTAGGAGAGGAGAAACTCGAATGTGTCCCCAGGGGGTCACCTGTGCAAGCTGGAGAAAGGCCAACGGAGAAGTAGATCTTAAGGGGCTGGGCATCTCCAAAATGGAACAGTAGCGACCTACCTCTTTGTTGGTGGAGGCCTCCGTGGGGTCGCTGGAATGCAGGGGTGTGCTTGAAGACTCTGCACCCAGGGGCGAGGAGCTGCCTGGAGATGGAGTCTGGAACAGAGCAAGGGAACAACCCAGTGAGAGCCTGGGGGTGAAGGGTGGGACTGGGGCGCAGCGAGCGATGGGAAGGCCCGACCTAGCAGCCCACAGTCCATTCGGCCAAACTCCCTGGGAAATAAAACATCCATCAAAGGGTGGGTCTTCCAGCTTTCTTTCAAATTACTGCCTTCAGGACCCGAGCATTAGTACAGCGGGTAGCATACTTGCCTTGCATGACACTGACCCAGGTTCAATCCTCAGCATCCCAGATGGTACCCCCAAGCATCACCACCATGAGCAATTCCTGAGTGCAGAGCCAGGAGTAAACCCTGAGCATTGCTGGGTATGGCCCCAAAACAGGAACGGTCACGGTCCTCCCGTTGTTCATCGATTTGCTCAATGGCCCAGTAACATCTCCATTGGAGACTTTGTTGTTACTGTGTTTGGCATATCGAGTACATCACGGGGAGCTTGCCAGGCTCTGCCATGCGGGCGGGATACTCTCGGTAGCTTGCCGGGCTCTCCGAGAGGGGCGAGGAATCGAACTTAGGTCAGCCATGTTGGCTGCGTGCAAGGCAAACGCCCTACTGCTGTGCTATCGCTCCAGTCCAAAAACAAAACCCCTCAATTTTTTTCCCTTTTTTTCAAAAGAGCCCAGTTCCCACGGACCCCAGTTCGACTCCCTCCTTTAGACCAAGTATGGAAACAGCAGAAGTTGACGGTCAAACTGAAAGTTCTTGATGACTAAGTTAACAGTTGATGCATAAATGCTCACAGGGTGGTTTTTTTTTTTTAATTCTTCAAAATCATGCAATTTGCAGCAACCTACACAGAACTAGAGGGCATCATACTGAGTGAAGTTGGTCATAAGGATAGGGACAGAGAATGATCTCTCTTGTGTCAAAGATACACAGCAAGGCAGCAACAAAAGACCAAAAGCAATATAATGGGAGAACTGATCCAGAAAATGGAGTTGTGGGGGGGGATGTTGTTGAAAGGGATTTTGGGAACCTTGGAGGAGGGAGGTGGGTACACTGGTGATGGATGTGATGTTGGAATTATGTGCATAAAAAACCATCATTAGCAGTATTGTAAAACACAGAATCCCAATAATGTAGCACTGTAGCACTGTCCTCCCATTGTTCACCGATTTGCTCGAGCAGGCACCAGTAACGTCTCCATTGTGAGGCATGTTGTTTCTGTGTTTGGCATATCGAATACGCCACGGGGAGCTTGCCAGGCTCTGCCGTGCGGGTGGGATACTCTCGGTAGCTTGCCGGGCTCTCCGAGAGGGGTGGAGAAATTGAACCCAGGTTGGCCATGTGCAAGGCAAATGCCCTACCTGCTGTGCTATCGCTCCAGAAGATGTAAAGAAATGGGCTATGAAATGTATGATAAAATCAACCGAGATAATCTGAGTAAAACAGTAAATTTAAATGCCCAAAGAGATGATGGGATTGCTCTGATCGCTGGAAAACACCCCGCGGTGCTTAGTTCACTTTCAAAGACTCTGCTCTAATTCACAGGTTACGGAAAATTCACAGACAATTTGGTATCTAGACAGCACCTTGGCTGTTCTTAGAAACTATAAATAAATAGTTTACTGTTGATAAACAACAAGGATATTTTTATTTGGGGTGGGGGGAGGCTGGGCCACACCCGGCAGTGCTCTGGGACCACTCCTGACAGTGCACAGGACCATAAGTGTGCTGGGGATCAAACTCTAGTCCGCTGTGTACAAAACAAGCACCCTACCTGCTGTACTCTCTCTCCGGGCCCTGAATTGGAAAATGAGGTTCCAAAAGATAGGTTTGGGTCGGACGGTACACATCAGCAGAGTTACGACAAAGGCCACTGCCGAGAGTGAATATAAACTTGAAAGAAGAACCCCATAGTCCCAACTTCTCTGTTTGGTGCTGCAGGTCTTGGAAACACTTGATTCCAGGTGTTTTGCTGTGTGTGGGCATCGCCTCATTTCTGAGTGGGGAGAAGAAGGATTATGTGGCCAGGGGACAGGCAACACCTCCAGGTGGGCTATGTGACCAGACCCAAGCAGGTACTGCCACAGAGCAGCACAGAAGGGGCATTAACATGCTTGGTGGACCTGGCTCTCGTGGAGGCCCTTGAGGGACCCACGCAGCCCTGTCTCGGGGACCTCTTCCCTCTGGTTGCTGCACAACAATGAGGTCATCCAGGTGCCTGCAGACAGTGTCCTCCATCACAGGGACTCTCTCTCCTCGCTGAGGCTCAGTGTGAAATCTCCCAACTTGGAGTGTTCACCTTCACGCTCCCAGAGCCCAGCCCTGGGTTCTGTGAACGCTGCAGACGTCATGTCCAGCCTGGCCCCATTTCTCTAGCTTGCAGAGGAAGCGGGCAGCCCACGGCACTGTTCCAAGGTGTATGTGGGGGGTAAGAAATCCGTTCTCGGGGCTGCAAGTGAAGGATGTTGCATCACCGCTTGCCCAGACACTTAGACAAAATGGTCTCTGCCCGGGAAGATTCTGATCCGAGCTCCAGGCTCTGTGCAAGCAGAGAGCTTCCTCCAAGCAGGGAGGACCCTGGCTAGAGGAGGCCCCAACAAAGCCAACAAAGCCAAGGTGGACAAATGTCCAGAGAGACAAACCACATCTCCATGAACCTCAGGGAACTGCTTTTAAAAAAAAAGTCCTTCATTGACTATGCAACTGACTGGCCTATGTGAGACCCTGGGTTCAATTTTTGGCAACAACACACACAAACACTTACATATACATATTCACAACACATATACTCACATACACACACATACACGCACATACATACTCACACACTCATTCACATACCCATGCCCACATTCACATATCCACATATACACACTCATTCACTCACACATCCACACTCGCAATACTCATGCACACACTCATTCACGTACTCACACACCCATACTCTCACACACACACACACACACTCACACACCCATACTCATACACTCATTCACTCACACACCCACACACACTTATACACTCATACTCACACCCCCCACACTCCCAGACTCACACACATTCTCACACTGATTCATACTCACAACCACACCCACAGCAGATTCACCCTCACACCCCCCACACTCACACACTATTTAAATAAAGGTCTTAAAAAAGGTCTCTGCCCCTTACCCCCACTTCTGTTAGACTCTAAAAAGTGGAGAGAAAATCAGAAATTTTGTACTCTCGAAGAATGAATTGGAGGGGACGGAGATATAAGGCACTTGCCTTGCATGTGCCCAACCCTGGCTCAAATCCCTGGCACCCCAAAGACTCCCTCCAACACCAACATGTATCACCTCTGAGCACTGTCAGGTGTGCCCGAACACCACCAGAACAAAAGAATGCAAATTTTAACCAGTGACAGATGATCTGAGAAGTACAAATTATGATACTTTCCCTTGTCTAGAGTCTTTTGTCATCTGGGTTACATGACAGAAAGTCAATTATAAGCTACTGAGACCAAAAGACACTTAAAAGGATGGAGTGGCCGGCGCTGCTGAGGTTATAAGCCCCAGTTCTGCATAATTACTGGTCTCCTTCACATCTTATCTTCTGCAGATTGTATTCTAGCAGACTCTTCTCAACAATGATCTAAATTTATGCAACTGCATTTCAGGGACTTCGTTAAGCAGAGCTCTGGGCTTTGGACTCAAGTTCTTCAATGGCAGGACAAGAGACGGACAGACCCAACTCTGGACCACAGGTGTCCAAGGATACAAAAATCACTGTAACTTGATGAAACATCTCTTTGGGGCAAGCACTATGGCAAGGATGAGATCAAGGAACTCTCTGGCAATGTTCAGAGGGGAGAAAAGTCACGTTCAAATAATTGTTGCTCCTTTCGTCCTTCCATGCCCACCTGAATTCCTGATACTGGGCCAGAAAGTAAAGAATAAAGATACTAGGTCCGTGTCCTTCCTGTAGCCTGAGCAGTGGGAAGGGGACAACGTGGAACAGCAGGGCTGTGGCAGGAAGCTCAGACATTGGGAGAGACCAAATCTGCAGACAGGGAGGTGTGCACCCCAGCTGGGCCTGGTGGGGAAAGAGGTTCATCAGCTGAGGTCCAGAAGCTATGCACAAGACCTGGTCACTACCCAAGTCTCAGAGGAAAGTGAAGACCACCAACAGAAAAGTAGGCACTGAGAAGCCGATGGTCACAAATTAGTGCTCCATTCGCTGTCCTACTGCTCAAACGCTCCTGTCTACATGGCCGTCCATCTGCCTGTACAAGGAAGAGTAAAGCTCACACTAAAACTTGATCACTTGATCACTTGACTTCCCATTACTCATCGATTTGCTTGAGCAGGCGCCAGTAACGTCTCCATTTGTCCCTGTCGCATGCTAGTGTAGCCCAATGGTGTCTGCTCATTCTAGGAACACAAAGAACCTCAAACCGATCGTTCAGGGTCTTGATGAAGACAGCAAAAGAAAAGCAGAGAAGTGCAATGATTGCGAAATAAAGGATCCGAACAACAGAACTGTATCATGGTGAAAAAGTCAAAGTTGAAAAGCTGCTCAAACCAGCCTGAGGTAACTGAATAAAAGGAAAATGAAAAAGAGAAACATGGAAAGGATGATGGCACCAGAGGAGTTTTTCAAGAGCATGACAGAACAAGAGGAACTTGGTAAGACCAAGACGACATATATCAATCACTGTCACTGTCCTCCCTTTGTTCATCAATTTGCTCGAGCGGGCCCAGTAACATCTCCATTGTGAGACTTGTTGTTACTGTGTTTGGCATCTCGAATACGTCACGGGTAGCTTGCCAGGCTTTGCCGTGCAGGCGAGATACTCTTAGTAGCTTGCTAAACTCTCCAAGAGGGGCGGAGGAATCGAATTTTGATAGGCCATGTCGGCCGCGTGCAGGGCAAATGCCCTACCGCTGTGCTATCGCTCCAGCCCACATATATCAATAGGATAATTTTTCCGGATTAGTCCTCTTTAGAATGGAAAGGTCTTTTGATCACACTACAAAAGTCACCATGAGT